GATGTTTTAGTTCTGTACCACAGCTGCGAAGTAAACACAACCAAACAACAAACATTTCCTTCTATAGCATTGAAAAGTGGCCAACCACACCGGAGAAATGTCATCTTCTCTCTCTACTTGCCGACTCCTCCTTCGACAATGTTATATAGAGCAAAAACAGCGTATTCCTGTAGTTTCTTCTGCAAGCATAACTCGAGTAAAAATCAGCATGAGCACTGTAACCACAGCACTTTATGCAGTATCCCTATATGTTCAATTTACATGCACATTATTTTTTGTAAACTGATCGAATGTCTGTAATAACCACATCAGATGTACCTCTGCGAAAGAACACAATGACGTTCTTCTTTCTCTTAATGTTCCAATTCGGTGTAATAATCATTGTTCCGTCGTCAATTGATAGGAAACTATATCTTTCCACATAGTTGCCTAAATCTTACTTCTTGCACCATCCGCTATACTTTTGTAAACGTAACGAAACTCACGAGATTTGCACTGCCTTTCAAAATGGTGCATTTGTTTTGTTCAAATCTTCATTGTATTCCAACCTTCACAGTGATTTGCAACAATACAGCTGTCGGTTAGGTATAATTCCAATGACAACAACTTGATGCGATTACTACAGTATCAGTTCAAAACAAGATTCTTATTTGTAATAGTTGTAAGTTAATAAGCACCACGTGATTAGCGTGTTCATTCTACTTTCACCACAGCTGCCAGCCGACCCGATCTAACTCAGTGACATGATGTACGTCTGCTATGCATTACATGCGCTTAAATACAATGGAGCCATGCCCGCTTAAATGGACTACTGAGTGACTCGAAATAAGAGGTTCCAATGTTGTGGGGCAACCCTGTGTAATGACTTAGATCCGTCTTGTAGTGCCACACAATTTGTTTAAAGCATGACCTGATGAAATTCAATATGACGAGATGAATGAATGCTCCTCAGCAACCTGCATGCCTCTCAAACTGTTTCTCAACGTCGGTTCCGTTTTGAACCGATGATAGGCTGCTAACAATCCCTGGTGAAAGGTCGCCATTTACTAAATAAACCCGGACTTCCATCGTGATTTGCATCTGCAACTCTGGAACACTTAAGAGAAAGCAGACAATAAACAACCTGACAAAGCGAATGTCAGGGAAGGCCTGTGACATCCTTTGCCTCTGCTATAGACGCCAATGAGATGAATACCTGGAAGCACCATAGTTCGATTTCGCCATAAGGACAAGACGGCGCCAAGAACATAAGCGGAGTCAGATTTATAGTAACCAAAAGTTAATCTTCAAATATCGTCTCCTGCCCCGTGAAGTCACTAAGACCGGACGTGCCGCTAATCCGACTGAGCAAGATATAGACCTTGGAGATCGTCCACACCAGTGCCATAGTAAGT